ACAAATATCATTGACTGACATGAAGGGTATTCTAAAGGACATGAAAAATGTTGGGGGTGGTGATAGTGGAATTCTAAAGGGGTTTTGTGTGATGTTTGTTATGCTGTTGGAGATCGTTTGTTGATGTTATAAATGCGTCCTTCTCAAACCGGGGATTTTCCGGAGGCGTGGAAGGAATCCACTGTCACTCCCTGTCCCTAAAGTTGCAGGTACGAATCTGTGCAATGAATTCAGGCCCAATAAACACCATCGAAGTATATGAGAAAGTGCTAGAGCTCGCTGTTAAAAATCAGCTTCAAAATCATTGTAATAAAAATGAAATATTGGTGAGTCATCAGTCGGGTTTCCGTGAGAGTCATTCGTGAGAGTCTGTGGTTATAAATATATGTGATGTATTTCTGAGGGAATATAGATAAGGGTAATTTCGTACTGGCAGTATTCTTGGATTTCAAAAGGGCTTTTGAGACTGTAGATAGGGACACTTTATTAAGAAAACTAAACGATATCGGCATTGGGCACACAGTATTGCAATGGTTAAAATCATATCTGAGTAACAGACATCAAAAGGTGAAATTTAAGAATTCTATGTCAGATTCCTTACTGGTTCAGTATGGAGTACCGCAGGGAACCATTTTGGGACCGCTATTATTTCTACTCTATATAAATGATATCGTCAAAGTTGTGAAGGGATTGTAAAATTGAATTGTTTGCTGACGATACAATGATATACTTGGCTGGAAAAGATATAGTTCAGATGCAAAAAATAGTAAACACTGATTTAAATAATTTGTTTAAATGGCTTTGCAACAACAACTTAAGTATTAACACTTCGAAATCAAAATGTTGTTTATTTGGGAAAAAATATAGTCTGAAAGATGTTAATCTAGAAAGCATAAATATTATTATGAATAACGAAAAAATACTTCATGAAAATCAGATTAAATATTTAGGAGTCATATTCGATTCATGTTTGAATTTTTATGCACAATGCAGAGTACATAACGAGGAAGTTTTCCAAAAAAGTAAACTTTATTGGGAGGATAGGCAATAAGTTGTCAAAGGCTACTAAATTGCTAATCTATAAAAGTATAGCAACTCCACACCTTGAATTTTGTTCCACCCTCTTGTTCAATTTGCCTAATTTTAAGATAGAGCAGTTACAAATTGTTCAAAATAGAGCAATGAGAACTATTCTAAGATGCATAGATATACCCCAATTGCAACAATGCTTAACATTTTAAATGTCTTTTCTGTCAAGCAAAAAGTTACGTACAGCGTCCATGTTTTTCTGTTTAAAATTAAGAACAAAAATGTTACCGTCTTATATCTGTGATAGGGTGAAGTTTTTTAAAGATGTACATAGTTATAACACCAGAAATTGTAATGACTTTGTATTGTCAGATAAGTGTTGCACCACCCAAAATGCTCAACTCGGTTCTATATAGAGGTTTACATGATTTCAATATGTTACCCAACAATATAAAAGACTGTGATAACCTGAAAATGTTCAAAAAATAGTGAGAGATCATCTATTGTGAGATTTGTTTTATATCGTTTATATTGTCGTTTTATTTTATTTTTTATACTTATTTATTTATTTATTTTACAACTATGTGTATTTATTGTTTGAATGTTTTTTATTGAATCCTTTTAATGTGTTAATTTATATTATTATTATTATTATTGTAACTACCTAGGATATAATATTTTATTGATTTGTTTTTGTATTTAGCATATTTGCTCAATAAAGATTATTATTATTAAATAAGAAAAAAATCACGGGAATTGCGAAAAAATTACGATAATTTTTGAAAAGTTACGGGATTTATGAAAAAGTTACGGGAATTACGAAAATTACGAGTTTTTTAAGAATTGCAATAATTAAGGAGGAATAACGGAAATAATGAAAATTCACAAAAAAATAATCGAAAATAATTACGAATTTTTGAAAATAACAAAAACTTAGGGGGAATTATAAAATAAGTAACTGAATATTTTGAGAAATTAAAGAAATTGAAAAATTATGAAAATCTGAGAAACAACAGGAATTATTCAAAAATTACGGGAATTACAGAAAAACTACGATGAATTTTGGAAAGTTACGAAAAATTAAGGAAATTACGAAAAAGTTAAGGGGAATTACGAAAATTACGAGTTTTGCGAAAATTGCAAAAACCAAGGAAAAATTATAAAAATAACGAAATTTATTTGAGAAATAACGGCTTTTAACAATTTTTTTTTCGCAATTTCACCTTCACTTTTCCGCAATTTCAAAGTCTAACCCACTTTCTCGCAATTTCAACAAATTTTTCCGCGAATTTTGCCTCACTTTTCCGTTATTCTTGCCTCATTTTTTAATAAGTATAACCTCACTTTTTCTCGATTTTCGCCTCACATTTCTGCAATTTCAACCTAATTTTTCCATAATCTTTACTTTTGTTTTTCGTATTTATAATCTTATTTTTTCTCGATTATAACATTACTTTTCCGCCATTTTTACTCAACTTTTCCGCAATTCCAACATTTCCAACCTCATTTTTCCGTAATTTTCACTTCTATTTTTCGTAATTCCAACGTCACTTTCCAGCGATTTTGACACTCACTTTTTCGCAATTTTTGAAAAGTTCGGAAATTACGAAAAATTGTAGGAATTACGAAAAATTACTGAAATTATAAAAATAAAGAGAATTACGAAAATTACAAAAAATATAGGAATTACGAAAATCACGAATTTTTGAAATTATGAAAATTACAAAACTTGGGGGAAATTCAAAAATAACGAAGTTTTTTAAAAAATTAGGAGAATTAAATATAGTTACGGGAATTACGAAAAAATTATGATTTTTGAACTTATGGGAAAATTACAAAAAAGTTACGGGGGAATTACGAAAATTATGAGTTTTTTGAAAATGCAAAAACTAAGGGAAAATTGACTTTTTTAAGCAAATTTATTTTTTCTACAAACGTCACTAAAAGTGTCATTTTTAACGGATGCTGTCAGTGTCTAAAATGCCATTTTATGACACTGGTGCTAAAAGTGATTACTTTTAGCACTAGTGCTAAAAGTAATCACTTTTAGTGCGTTTTTAGAAAAAATAGTGTATGATATTCGTGCTAAAAGTGATTTTATTTTGTTCAAAGGGATGGAACACTCCGCCTTCGGCGTCGTGTCCCAAACTTCCCTTTTCACAAAAATAAAATGTCACTTTTAGCACTTATATCATAAATAACTATTCTTACATTTTATTTTTTTTTCTAAAAAATTGGTTAAAAGATAATTGTGAAAATTTTCCAGGAAAAAGAGGAAAGTGAGGATCCCATTAAAGCAAAATTTTAAAATTTTCCACTGAAAAATCATTCCAGGAAAAATTTTAGAAAATTGATTTATTTAAGCAAAATTAAGGAAAAGAAATATGTATTGGAATTCAACCTACAAAAACTGAATTAGTTGAAAATACAGTCTCACATATTTCAAAGTTTTCCTAGAAAAATAGTAAATGGAAAATTTTGAAACTTTTTTCATGTAAAGAGGAAGGTGAGAAGCTCATTTTCCTAAAATTTCAAATTTTTCCAGTGGAAAACAACAACATGAAAAATCTTGGAAATCAACCTACAAAAACTGAATTAATTGAAAATACAGTTTCACACAGTTCAAAGTTTTCCAAGAAAACTAGTCAAGGGAAAATTTTGAAACTTTTTGCATGTAAAGAGGAAGGTGAGAAACTCATTTTCCCAAAATTTCAAATTTTTCCAGTGGAAAATAACAGCATAAAAAATCTTGGAAATCAACCTATAAAAACTGAATTAATTGAAAATACAGGATGTATATTTTAAGTGATACCACTATTATTGCTATATCCGAAACGGTAAGAGCTACAAGGTCAGTTAAATTATTAAAAAGTTGCCTTTTTTGATGCCCATTCAAGATTCGTTTACAGCGAGGTTTACAGTGTTACCAAATTCCTTTTAGTATCTGAAATACAGGTTCATAACTAGGGCCGAATTGAGGTGAAATTTTGGTAAAAATGACTGATGATCACTTTTTAGATCAGAAACGTGGACTTGTATATAACTGTATATTTCAAAGTTTTCCTGGAAAATTAGTGAAGGGGAAATTTTGAAACTTTTTGCATGTAAAGAAAAAAGTGAAAAGCTTATTTTCCCAAAAATTTAAATTTTTCCAGTAAAAAATGTCTGATCTATATAAATTCCTCAATAAATTCTATGAGTTTGAAATCTCTGTAATAGATTATTTTTTATAGGCGATTTTGAAAGATTTTTTTTTTTAATTTTTTGTCATTGATTTCTACTTTTTCTAACATTTACACGAGAAGAAATTTTTGTAATTTTTTCCTTTAAATTCCCCACATTTTTGGCAAAGAATTCCTAGGTGGTTTGCCCCTTGGAAAAATTATTCAACAAAAAGCTCCATCAGGAGTCAGGACATTTCAATTTAATTATTAAGGAATAGTTTATTTACCTAATAATCTGTCAGGTAATGCAATCTGTGAGATAAAAACACAATCTGCAATCCCATTAGGGCCAAATTATGAACCAACTGGTAAGTGTCTGGTTGTTACCTCGGTTGTTATCTAGCAGGTACTTTTCCATTCTCTAGTGCATAGAAAGTACCTGCTAGGTAACAACCAGACATTTACCAGTCAGTCCATAATTTGGCCCTTAGTCGAATAGTTTTTTGCTGACCGGTAAGGGCGGGTATTATAAAACTTTTTTGAGAGTTAACTTAAAGTTAACTCTTGGAATTACATGTAATTCAAAAAGTTAACTTCAAGTTAACTAGCAAAAGCAGTTTTATAATACCCGCCCTAAGAGTATAGATTAATGAATTTATTTTGCAAATAGTTACCAGCAAGTTAATCTCTGAAAATGAATAAACCAGGCCTAAAAGTATTTGATTCAAATTAATTTGTCTGGAATTAAATTATTGTATAAACACAATAAATAAGATTTTTCAAATATTGAAAATATTTTTTACTTACTGGCTGAGGTCGTTGACGTGCATTTGGTCCAGGAAAAGGAGCGGTCCTTTCCTGTTCTCCTCCCGGATTTACTATACTACTACTGGACATAATTAATAATTAATTATTGGAAATTTTTAATAATTTTTGGAAAAAAATACTAGTAAATTTTTTGGCATTTGATTTGTTTTTTTTTGAGGTTAGGTTTGCTTTGTTTTATTTGGCTGGGTAGGAAACTGTAATGTCTGTGATACTTTTATTATTAGATTACAGAAATCTGTAATTGTTGAGTTTTTTTTGGCATTGGAATTTTATACTGATTTGGACGCTATCTAACGATTACAAGCAAAAATTATTAAATTTAATGCAGTTTATTTTATAATCTAAATGATTTTTCTTTTATAGAAACCTTTGCGTATTAATTTGGTGCTGGTAAAACATGATTTTGATGTAAAAAATAAAAATTAAACTTATTTCGTATAAAAAATCATAGATGTCGCCTTTGTCGATTTGTTTTGATTTTTCAAAGGTTTGATCCAAGATGTTCAAAAAACCAGCAATTACTTGCGCACTAGTGAAAAATCCACTACATTTGACAGTTTTTCGAAAGATTTTTCGAACAAACCTGAAATGATGTTATGACATTTCCGTTCAAGGCACAGTGGATTTTACGAAATTTTTTCTTTTGCAATATTTATTAATTGGTTGAATTTGTTGGTCGCTGGTTGTTCGTGGGTTGACTAACGGTTAAATAATTTGAAAGTTCCGGGATTTTCGAGCGAAAATGTAAGTTTTTTTTTTTAATATGGCCTAGATAAAATGTTTTGTTTGGTAAACAATAGGGATAAGTGTCCCTTTAAATTTTAAATACCAACATCATATAGGGATGTTTTGAATAATACTAGGTAGGTACCCTTTACTTTTTTGAAAATTAAATATGGTAATTAATTGAGTAATACAGGAGCTTTATTTTACATTAGAATTGTAGCAGGAATTACAATTTTATATAATTTAACAAAATCAATAAATAGGGTTGCATGTTGTATAGCTAGGTATTAGCTAAATTAATAATAATGATTTTTTTTTAAAATTTCTTCAATGAAGAGGTTTGAAGTTTTGGTAGAAGGGTTACCACTCAACAACAATGTAAATTATGGCATGGTCATGATTGATGAAATTAACAATTATTATATCCAAAAATATGTATTTTTAGTTGTTATTGGTAATTATTATTGAGGGAGAAACCACCCTTAGAATTTTAATGTACAAACTGATAGAATTTTTTAGAATTTCTTAGAAATATTAGTGTAGGTATATTTTTTAGTATGAATTTTTTAGTATTTTTTCTTTTTGTTAAAATTGATCAAACACTAGTTCCTTCGAGCTTAGAATGGATTTTATAGTTTCTGAAGCAAATTCCAAAAGATCCAATCACTTTTATCAGTTTAAAAACTGACTTAGAATTACTTTACAAGCATCTGAAGCAACTTCTAAGTCACTCTGAAAATGTCTCAATGGTTTAAAATTTACCAAACACTAGTTTCTTTGAACTTGGAATGGATTTTATAGTGTTTTGAAATCAATTTCAGGAATTTTAGTCGCTACTAGGTATATTGGACCAAAATTTGAGTAAATTCATTTAACAAGCATTTGAAGTAATTTCTAAAGCATTCTTATGGAAAACGGAATGTTGGATGTTTTTGAAAATTTGCATGTTTAAGTAATAGTAAGGTTCAGACTTTCTGTTATTCTTTTATTTTGATTGAATTCGAGATATTTTGTTATTAAAAAAAGTTTGAGCGAAAAATATTAATATTTGCGTTTGTCGCGAGCAATTAAAAATTGACGATCGGCGCAGGATAAAAAACGTACCTGTACGTGAGACCAAAGAATATTATAGACTAACGTCTCTAGAAGAGCCGTCTGGCGGCGAAAATATAAACCCGCGTGATGGCGCTGGTGTCCTAGTAAAATCAGTCATTTCTGCGATTAAATTAATTTTAGGCACTATGCACGCGTATTTGCTAGGCTGCGTTGCCAAGTTGTCTTTTGTATAACAAATTAAATGCCTGTGTTTTATATAGGTACTTTTTATACATATACCTACCATAGAATAGGAATATTATTATAATTAAAAACAAAATAATAAATAGGTAAATAGTTATGTATTTTCGTGGGTAGTAATTTTCTATTACTAATAAATAGAGGTATAAAACATAAAAATTGTTTCTGTCTATCTGTGTGTCTACCCAGTGGCGACGCCAGGGTTTTATGTTAGGGGGGGCCAGACTGGGCCAGAAAAAATTAGGGGGGGCCAGACTATGGAGCAGAAAAATTTAGGGGATGAAAAAAAACATCAACGCAAGACATATCCAAGTAAAAATAGTTATTTTCCTAACAAGTGCGCAGAGTGTTAATGTTCCGCAAGCAAACCCAGTTTGTATAGATGATATAGAAACAGAAGAAAAAAAGTTCATCATGTGTCAAAGTTGACAGGTGCACTATTGTTGCTTGATAATTAGTTTTACTTTTTCGCACTCAATGTGGATGAAGACCTTATGCGCACAGAGTGCGAAAAAGTGTAACTTTGAGCACGGAAATGCGTGCGGAAAACTACTACTTACCGAAACCTAAAACCCAAAGCAGTAAAATTCTTCGGTTATTATGATTTTTAGCAAAAGTATCAACAATATTATCAAGATTCATATTATATACACGGTGTCCCTCGAGGTTTTTCCCAAATGATAATTTCGGAACGCATCATCGTATGTTCCACTGTATAATTTTCTGTCATATCTTTTAACAAAGCCTTAACAAATATGGCATAACCAATTTTGTAATTTAATTTTCTAACAAAAAATGCCATAATATACCTACCATGAGTTACATTTAAAATGCGAAAGTTGACGTCACTTGGCCGAAATTGGAGCAAAAATGGTGGAATTGGATGACAGTGGTAGAAGCGGCTCAAAAAGTTACCCAGATCCTCAAAATTTCAATTATATTGGATGACGCGTTCCGAAGTTATCACCTGGGACAAACGTCGTGGGACACCCTGTATATAGTGTATCCACTTAAGTTCGCAGCATATGGGAAACTTTTTTATTATCAATTTTACGAAAAAAAGTTATTCTTTAATAAAGTTTCTGCTTCTTGAAAAAATGCTATTAAACCATTAAAACTTGCAATAACATGTATAGGGTAGTCAGAAAATAGAAAAATATACAGGTTCTTTTGGTAAAAGTAGAAAAAAAATGGCACGTCACAATTTTTTTAAACCTTCGATATTTTTTCCTGATTAAGCAAGGCATATTACAGTCGAAGAATACCTTTCGTTATCACAAACGAATCTGCCAAATTTGAAAAAAAAAATTGGAAAAGGGATTTTTGAGCTAAAAAATAGTATATTGTTTTATTAGGAGTAAAAGTGATACTTTTTGTGGCGAGACTAAATGTTCGACAATTTTAGACGAGCCACAAAAAGTGCTTTTCTCCGAATAAGACATACGATTTTTTCCGCCAATGGTGTTCAAAGCGATGGAAATTTCTATGACGTCACTTTTTTGTCCGGCCGTGAGCGTACAAAAAAGTACTTTTTTGTACGCTCATGGAACCCGCGGACAAAAAAGTAACCAAAAAAATGACGTCTGTGAAGTCAAACTTCAACATTAAGAATTGAGGTTAAAAAAGTCGTCATTTTTTGACGTTTGTGGAAAAACGATTTTTTCTAAAATTTTGACACCGTGTATCCGGTATCCTGCAAATCGCAGGTAGCTAGCACACCTGGTTTAGAAGTTATAAGCATTTACAATCGGTCACTTTCTATTGTAAAGAATCACATCCTGAAGTTACGAACCGTACTGCGGAAACACCCTGTATATTTTTCTATTTTTTGACCACCCTGTACATGCTATTTCAAGTTTCAATAGTTTAATAGTATTTTCTCAAGAAGCAGAAACTTTTATAAGGAATAACTTTTTCCGTAAAATTGATAATAAAAAAGTTTCCCATATGCTGCGAACTTGAGTGGACACACTGTATATAATATCATATATAACATTTTGTTATATTTTCGGTATAGACTTTTTTTATGCGACTTTTGGCACAAGCGCAAGTTTTCAGGGGGGGCCGGCTAAAATGTTTGTTATAGACTTTGAAACTATCCGACCGATGTACTTCAAACCAGTTTAATGTTTAATATGAAAAGCAATAATGATAAGAAGGTTTTAGACCGCTAATGACAGGTGTCAACTGTCAAATTGTGACAGTTGCAGATTTTGAACCAGTTCTTCACAACGGATTTTGCATAGGTACACTTCAAGTTCAGGTGATAATACATTTTAGACCACCAATGACAGGTGTCAACTGTCAAATGTGACAGGTGCAGATTTTTGAACCATTATTTCGCAACTAATTTTGCTGAAATTTTGCATACATTTTATGTTCGGGTGATAATACATTTTAAACCACTAATGACAGGTGTCAATTGTCAAATGTGACAGATGCGGATTTGTGAACCATTTCTTCGCAATACATTTTGCTGAAATTTTCCATACAGTTAAAGTTCGGATAATAATACAATTTGGAATATTCAACAGCTGTCAAATGTAATTTTTGACAGCTGTCAAAATATGACAGGTCGAGAGGTGGGCAGGTTGTCAGGACTACCGTTTCATCTAATTTTAGACAATTTTGCAGACTCTTCTGAGAAAAGTTATGAGGTGTGATAAATGTGCACTTTTTTCCCCGTTTATCTGAAACTTGAAAAATTCTTTTTCTACGAGCGTGCATTTTTTATCACTTTCCCTGCACGCATTTTAGTTCCGAAAATGTCACTTTCCCGCACTAGTGCGGGAAAGTGGCGTTCAGAAGTGTCAGTTTTGTTAATTAATCAAACATTTTATCAATTTTGTCTGCATACATTTTTGCTATTTTAATCCATATTAATCTAATTTGTGAATCTTTCAAAAATTTTATATTTTTTTTCGACATTTTATACAGGTATAGTTTTTTTAACGTTCCCATGACGCCGTGCGCGAAATGCTACTTTATATATATATGCTACTTGTATATATACTTGTATATATGCTTGTATATATACTTGTATACATGCTTGTATATATAATTGTATATATACTTGTATATATACTTGTATATAAACTTGTATATATATACTTTGTATATATATGTATTTTTCTTTGGAAGGCTTCCTATATATATTTATTATTTACAACCAACTGGTATGACATAAAAGTTTGTATGCACCACGGGTACTAATAGATATATAAACCCTCGGGCCAGAGGCACTCGGCTTTGTAAGACTGTCGCCTTCAGGGCATAATCATCTACTTAGTACCCTTGATACATAAATAACTATTGTAATTGAACGATTTCTTCGATAATATATCGCTTTGAATTTACTTAATTTTTATTTTTATATTTGAACGTGCTCGTAGAAAAAATAATGTTCCTTACTCATGCGGAAAGTGTCTTTCCCGCACTCGACTGCTTGCCCGAACTCCGCTTCGCGTCGTTCGGGTCAACGGCAGTCGCGTGCGGGAGAGTATCACTTTCCGCACTTGTTAGGAAAATAACTATTTCCTACGAGCGTGCGCAAAGAAGTACTTTTCCGCACGCATTTCCGTTCTCAAAGTTACACTTTTCCGCAATCAGTGCGGATAAGGCCTGTATCCGCACTGAGTGCGGAAAAGTAAAAATAATTGTCAAGCAACAATAAGTGCACCTGTCGACTTTGACACATGATGACAAATTTTTCCTCTGTTTCT